TTGACTATATAAGGTCGAACATTGATGTTGACTATATAAGGTCGAACATTGATGTTGACTATATAAGGTCGAACATTGATGTTGACTATATAAGGTCGAACATTGATGTTGACTATATAAGGTCGAACATTGCTGCTGGACTATATAAGGTCGAACATTGATGTTGACTATATCTTTGAGCTTCTGTCTTCAAGTTAATCTGAACACGGCCTTCAAACAGAATTTAAAAAAAATTAAAATGTTCCATCGTGTAGTTGTTAAACAGTGCTTGACTGATCGGGAAACACATCATTTACCGTAAACATTTCATCAGTCGTTAACATTTCATCTACCGTGCTACATGTATTCGTGAAATAATGTATTGCGTAAACTAATCTTTTTTGTTTAAAAATCCTCTATAATAACTTCGCTTTGCTCATGTTTATCTTTCAGGCTGGGTGGCAAAAATCTTCGGACGCTTAATTGACACACTTCCCGTCAACCTATCGAGCTGACACTTAACAAATAGACTCGCTGCCAATGACAACACATTCTAAAAAAAAAAAGATTCAGCCCCATCCCCCAACTCCCCAAAATCGCACATTTTTCCAAGGAAATATGAAGGGAAAATGAGGACACTGATTTCAGACACTGATTTCAGACACTGATTTCAGACACTGATTTCAGACACTGATTTCAGACACTGATTTCAGACACTGATTTCAGACACTGATTTCAGACACTGATTTCACGAATTAAAATTCCCGATAACTGCGCTAAATGAGATTCTTTTTAAAAAAAATATCGCAAGTGCGTTATATATTTCTTGTTTTTTTTTTGTTTTTCTGAAATACTTTGTAGATATAAATCTGGGGTGTAAAAGCGGGTGGGACATCCGAATATTAAGATAAATTAAACTAATGAAACATGCACGTAAAGGAGTTTTTTACCAACAACTTGATATTTAGCGCTTGTTTAATTTAATTGTGTCCTGAACATCATTCAATTTATTCATTTGCTGGAATCATTAAAAAAACAACAACAACTCGAAATTGATTGTCTCACTGCTTATTGTAAGTCTTAATGAGAGTGGCATGCAGATAACAGACGATGAAATCATTCCTAGGCTGTGCAGGTCAGCCTGAGATAAACACTTTAAAACATTGTTTTTTTCTCTTTTGTTGAAGATGTCGGTAGCCGA